GGCTTTAGATGGCAGTGCCCCTGCCATACCACTCGCCCACTTGACTCGCCCAGTTCCATAGCTCTTCAGGTATAAGCCCACCTTATTGAACAAGAAACTAGGCCCATTTTGCTGATAGGCCAAATTGCACCCAGGAAATTTTTGTACAAAAAAAATATTTTTTGAATTAATAGCAAATTGGGAGGCAATTTTTCAACATTGCACGCACAAATTAAGTCAGCTGAGCTACTAATTCAAATCAAATCCTTGGCTCCTGGTGTGTGAAACTGGATATAAAGTAGAGGGTGGGCTTATGCCTGAGAAAGTACTATTATTTGTGATATTTTTTAGCGCTTTGCATCCATTTCTCTGATAGCAAAAGACAATTGATATCTAGTTCAAGACACTTCAGAAAATTTATTGTATATTTCATTATCATATTCCTAAAGAAATTGCCGAAACAAGATTTGTTTGAATAACACCCTATTCACATGACAGAAAATGTACTAAATATTAACAGGGATATCTGTTCTGAAATTTCCATACCAAGATTTACATAGCTTTCTTTTACATGACTAAATACAATACCTGCTACAAGTTTGTTGGTTCAGACAGCGCAGCGTTCAATGTAAAGATATAATGCAGCCCCAAACCTTGTACATAACATCCTAAATGTCTCAGAAATTTACAGGCCTCTTCTGAGGTCTGTTTTTACCAAGATATCGTTGGTATTCTAGCAAGGATATGCATTCTCACAAGCGACACATCTTTGCTAGGGTAAACATCCTTGGTACAAATTGTTAGTATTTAGTACATTTCTGTGAAGTTGTAGGTTTAAGAACATAAAAAAATCAACACATCTAATGTACAGATGTGGTCTGTAAACAGAAATATAAATAATCCTACACTTTTGTGCATAATTTAAATTCTCTAACAATTTTTATTAAATGATGTTTTCAACTGTTAAGTTGGTATCATCATTTTCATTAATTATATTAGAAACTATGTGAGTTGAGAGTATTGATTAAGCTAGATTTGAAAACAAATGATTTAAAAGAAGGCAAAAATAATAATAAAGTTTCAGTTGAATTGCAGTTTTATCCCTAGCCCCAGTTAGCATGGTTTTAATGAAATGAATAACACAACTGTAGATAACGAGACATATACAGCATTTGTGGATGCACTTCATCCTGTTACAGAGTGATCGCCTATAATTAATTCATTCCAATAACTGTTACTACTATACAATTTTTTTTTTTTTTTTTTATTCAGTTGTAAAGATCATCATCATTGTCTGCCTCTGGGAACGCATCCTGGTTGTTCGAACCAGCTCCGGCTCCTGGGCCCTGTGATTGGTTTCCTTGATCTGGGAACCTACACAGATACAACAACAACAACAAAAAAACAAAGTTATTATTATGATTATTAATTCAAATGTTAATAACTATCATCATCTTATTTTCTAAAAATACATGTGTACAATTTTAAAGCAAAGCACACTTTGCGACATACGACTATCTTAAGGACACTGCACCATCTGCTGATTGCTGGTGGTAGCCCGAGTGAAATGTTGTGTGCCTAGCCTTAAAGAAAAATTTATTATATATTAATTGCTTGCGGACACTAGGTAGATAGTTCCAAAAATAACTGTTGTTGGTCAAGAATGTCACAACGTTTCTATTGAGTTGCTTCAATCACCTTCAGGAGAATAATATCTGCAGAAAATTCCAAACAAGGAAATACTTGTATGTTTGGGTAGTGAGGCTTGCTGATTGGTGAAAAACTAAACAATATCTGAGACTAATTGTGAAAAGGCTAATCCAGCCAGTATTTACTGTCTGTGCATAAAGGCTGGAAAGTCAAGTCAGTGGCATTGTTTCTAGCTTAGTGAAAGGAAAGCCAAAAAAATGGCATGGTTTCCAGTGTGGCGAGAAATGTGTTGCTTTGGTTTAGGTCCGATTAAAACATGGATAACCAAATATTGCTGATAAGAAATCCGATATCGTGATGTAGTGTATCGTGTTTGTCAATTTATATAGCCTCTCTGGTCCGTCTGGAATGTCAAAATGGTAAAGTGGCTATCAGATTGGCTTTATCCCAACATAACACAATATTGTTGTTTGTGGGAGTGCTTGACTATAGATGACTTTTGCTGTTCCATTCTCCTAGCATGGCCTAAGTCTTTCTTGAGCCTTGTACGGAGATCACGTCCTGTTTCACTAATGTAAACCTTTCCACACTCACATGGAATCCGATAAACTCCTGGCTATATCTGTGCTGGTAGTTCTTCCTTTTGTGTTTGAAGAGTCCAAGATAATTTGTTGGGTGCACTATGAAACACTTTAATATCGGCTTGCTGTAGAATGCATTGAATAAGATGCGACAGCTGTCCCAAATATGGTAATCATAAAAACTTTCTAGATTCCGTATCATCTTGCCTATTGCTGTATATAAATGTATTGTTTCCCATAAACTTTACCTGTAACAGTGGTATATCTGCACAGGTTGGTAAGACAAGGTATTTTAATGTACCTCCATTTAAATGCCACCAAAGAACATACACTTCAAAGATGGGGTAAGATTGGAGGGGTACAAGAATTGACATCATAATAATAATAAAAAGCAATATTAAAAAACCATTAACACATTATTATCAAAGAATTGAAAAAAATAATAAGAACAATAACAGAAATAGGTCTGACTTTCCTGATTTGGCATGCATGCAATCAAACGAAAAACACAGTACTACCACAAGTTAGCAGGGGCTCCACATATAGATAAAAAACATGCCATTCTTTACATACAGCACATGCTCAATATTAATGACTTTACGTGTATTACCAACCAAGGTTATAAACCCTATCTCACTTTTTAAGGGCGCACTAGGTTGTAGTACTATTCAAGAGAATTGGATAACATTTCAAGGAAAACCTGAGTGTTGGATCTCTTTCTATTATAAACTCTTTAATAACAATCAATAATAATTTAATAATGACAACAGTTGCTCTGTTTAAGTCTGTGTATTTTCATGTATAATTGGCCCATGGAAAAACCAGATAATATTCATAATATTGTAAATGTAACAAACCTGAAGCTACCACAGAATCCTCGGCTCTGTTGTAAAGTTTGTGCAAACATCTCATATTTGCGAATGTCCTTATCCGTGACAGATCGTCGTGCAAACTTCATGGCTTCCTCGAAATGAGCATGGGTGATCTCTGGTACTGGGTCATCATCGTCATCTTCTATTTCCTTTAAAAAAAAAAATCAATAATAAAAATTAAATAATAAAATAAAATTTTCTCTTTCATTCATTTCTAAATACATGTCTCCTTCTAAATAATGTGCACTCCAATTAAAGACCACTTTTCTGTGGTCCTAAATGAACGTCATCTATTTATCTTTACAATAATCATCCTTTTTTATAATTAAAGAACAAAGCTGCTAAAGACCACTAAAACACTTATCCAGAAAGTAGTCTTTAATTGGAAGGAGAAATGTATTTGAAATTGGAAATTTTTGAAGGGACTCTGGGGACTCACAGCAGGCAGAGTGCAGCGTCAGTACCGTCATGTAATGGATACATTGTCCCTTATCCCGCCACACTTCATGCGAGGGTTATTCATGTTTGAATCAAGGTCTACACCGAAAGAAAATCAGGAACATTTTCTGTTGGCCAAACGCTCAGAATTGGAACAACAAAATATCAATCATGTTAAATGTCTATGAAACCAATATTATTATATTTCAACACTATTTAGTCATTTCAACACGTTCGCTGCCAGACACGAGTATTATACTCGTCCCACAGTTGCCGAGGCGATAGGGACGACTACACTCTTTAAAACCGGGGTAACATTCTAGCGTTTATTACTTTATTTTCATACATTGTAGAACCACAGACTTAACTGCAGATAGTGGGTGGAGGGCCAAGAAATTAGTTTTAGATTGATTAGAAAACATCAAGACCAAGTAGCCCCACTCACCTATGAAAACCTTGGATGTATACAGATATAAAAATTTGTATATAAATATGAGTTTATGGTAAGAAATAGACAAGTGATTTAATGTGTTATAAATTTACATACCATATCAAGATCAGGGTTTTCCATTCGTTGCCTCTGACGTGAGATCTCGGCATCAATGCATTGGCGGATCGCCAACTTACAGGCACGCTGACAGATCTCTGTCAAGTCAGCACCACTGAATCCATGCGTCATTTTCGCAATGTACTCTAGATTGACATCCTATGAAAAAAAAAATGTCAAATTGTTGTTAGAGAATTTTATAATGAAATGACATTAAAAAGATCATAAAAACAGAAACAGCAATAACAACAGTAATTCATTCTGTGTAGTTACAAATTCCACTGCAGCCAAAAAACAACAACTATTATAACATTAGAAATTTGAATTGATCACGCAGAAACTGACAAAAATTTTGATTAAGAATTCATTGTCTCTAGGAAGAATAATCATAAAATGCTATGGATTTAACAAATAATAACAATAACAAAACAAAGACATTTTGATGTGAGTTTGTATCAGGAAACATCGCTCCTAAAACAAAGACAAACAAGAAAAAATGCATCTTCACATGGTGGAGTAGAAAAAAATTGTGAAGGATTTAGAAAACCTATTTTATGATTTTGGAAGATGTGTGTCCTATAAACTTTACCTGTAACAGTGATATATCTGTAAAGATGGGTAAGACAAGGAATTTTAATCTACCTCCATTTAAATGCCACCAAAGAACACAGACTTTCAAAGATGGGGTAAGATTGGAGGCATGTAATCAAGTCACATATACTGTACTATAAACTTTGATGAAATGCAAAAACTCTGCTTTAGTTTCAGCATTTTCTCTTGTATATTTTTATATTTATTATTATAATAATCATTGTATTATTTCACTCTGCATAAATACATATCAAACAGAAATTCTTACAAATCTATCATAATTATGTATTAAGTTATGCAACACTTTGAGGAATAAAGGTCTCAAAGATGTTAGTAAAGTTTATTGTGTCATGCTTTTGAACCGAATTTGAGGAAAAAATATCACAAATATAAAGATCAGAAATATTTACCTTTGCAACGGGGGATTTGCGAAGGTTAGCCGTGAGGATGGAGAGACGCGATGCATCATCGGGTAAAGGAATATAGATCAGTTGATCTAGACGACCGGGCCTAAGGATGGCTGAATCGATGATGTCTGGTCTGTTAGTAGCACCAATAATGAATACGTTCTTCTTGCTTCCCATTCCTTCTATTTCCGTCATGACCTGGTTGATGACACGATCTGATGCACCACCAGCATCGCCAAGGTTGCCACCACGAGACTTAGCAATCGAGTCTAACTGATCGAAGAATAGAACACAAGGAGCTGCTTGTCTTGCCTAACGTAGACCAAAGTGGGAGGCAAACCATGATGTTTAATATTCTTAAATCATCTTAAACTAACTATTGATATAATTTGTACTTGTTTCTGGATAGGAGTGGATCTTTGGCTATGTGTTTTAGTTCATTTAAGCCATCTCCCCTCTCTCTGAATGCTTGACAATGTGACGCCAACTGATTTTCGGTGGCAGTCTTAGGGGTTTCTTCATTAAAATCAATCTGTTGCGCATACCTCATTGTCCATGAAATATTATAGGCCAAAAACTATGGGAGAAAGTGTGGTGCATGCATACAATAGACTTTTTTAAAGCAAGTTTTAAGCTAAGCAATAGCAATATATCTGACTTAAACAAAAAAATTGACTTAAAACGAATTTAAGCTATTTCTAGTTGGATAAATCAGCACCAGACCCTCCCATCCAGCTATACAATTATTTGTCTTTGTATGTTTATATCTTTAAAAATTTTCAAAAAAAGCAGCAACGTACCTTATCGAAAACATCTCTAACATTAGCTTCTGACTCTCCGAACCACATGGTCAAAAGCTCAGGCCCCTTGATTGAGATGAAGTTAGCTTGACACTCGTTGGCAATGGCCTTGGCGAGAAGCGTTTTACCGCAACCGGGTGGACCGTAGAAGAGCACACCTTTGCTTGGCGTCATTCCGAATTTGAGGAACTTGTCTGGATGTTCAACAGGGTATTGTACCAGCTCTTGCAACTCTCGTTTCACGTTATCCAGACCACCGATATCTTGCCAGGTGACAGTTGGAACCTCCACAACTGTTTCACGCAGGGCACTTGGGCTGCTCTTGCTAAGGGCGAACTGTTGGCAAAAAAAATACAGAATTTTAAGCATTGAGATCTCTAAATAATATTCTTGGGACTTAAAAGTAAAAATATAATTTTTAAAGAATTTTAAATTTTATGAGCAAAAAACAAAAACTAGATGATTTTTACTGTCAATTATCTTATTAAAATAAAATTGTGTACTAAATAATTTTAAATTACTACATTACATAAAGCTTGGTTTACACGTTATCGCCCTCAGCTTTCTGGGAGCAGCCCATGAAATTAGGAAAAAATTAGGTCGGCAAAAATTTGCCGACCTTAAATTCTCCGGGGTCGGCAGCCTCTGCAATTTTTTACTACCTAGGCCTATATAGTATAAACTACAATTTTTCCAAACACTCGACCTTACATCGTCATCTACAGATTGTTAATTTCTCTATTTAATCAATATATTGCTGGTGAAAGAATGGTCGTACTGTACTTGTATTAATTTAATAGTGTAGTATAATACATATGTTTTACATAAGAAAATCGCCGAATAAATTTTGTTTTAGCGTCGTTTTTATTTATATTTGGCATGGGAAATATCACTTTCATAAAAGCTACAATCGTATCATCATAGGCTGCTTCAAAACTGTCCATGCATGTCCATGCGCATGCCCATAATGATCTATTTGGGATTTTCCACACATGTACGGTGTACTTGTCAGCAGTGAAGTCAAAATGCGATCGTGATTGTGTTTACGGACGGTAGAATTAGGCCTACAATATGTTAAATTTTGTTTTTAGATAATAAACAACATTTTAAATATGATAATACTGTAAAATGAAGACAAATAATAGATTTAGATAAGCATTAAGATCTACGCGGCCCACGTGGCTTCAATTGGGCGATGTTGTAGGCCTTGGCTGGCTAGCGTCAATGCTACCTAGGCCTAGCCTACGAAATGACTAGAAAAAGACAAGACGATTGTACACAAATTGTACATACTGCATGCCTATTAAAAATAGTTATTTCTTGGTTTGACGACGTACATGAAATTTAGTGTCTGCTATAGCCTGTTGCAGTTGAAGTTTTTTACTTTCCAAGCAGTTTTTGAAGCAAAGAAATCTAGGCCCAGGTCGGCAAAAAATTGCCGTCCTGTAGAAATTCTGGCTTGGCAATATGGTCGGCAATTGCTGATTGCCGACGTGAAATTCGTGGGCTGTGGGAATCATCCCGATTGCGCCTGAGATTGCTACGCAGTACAACAATTGCACTAAAAACACTGTAGTGACAGTGTTGTGGTTGTATGGCATCAATCTTAAGGGTTATCCAATTTTTGTATTGATGTATTGTATTATCTTTTAATATGTAATGTTGATGAAGCACCCTATAAAAACATTGTTAAAATATCATTATCATGGTTTTTGCATACAGGAAACTTAACATAGCAAATCACTTTTAACTAGAAATTAGAATTCTTCACATTAAAGTCTAGGTGGCAATATTCCTCTTACCCTGAAATCATCCATAGTCACAGCAAGAGAGTCCATAACTTGAGCATCAATTTGTTCATCTTCGAGGTCGATGAGATCCATCTTGTTACGGATCTGCTGCAAGGCAGCCTCTGAGCACAAAGCTGCAAGATCAGCTCCGACATGTCCATGAGTTTCATTTCCAACCTAACATGAATCAAAATCAATCATTTCTATCATTTTCATTTACGTGATGGTGTTTCACTTCATATAAAAATTAGTCCAACATCACTACAATGGAGCATTCTGCTAAATCCCGCCATTGGAAATAGTCGTTAAAATGTGTGGGACCTTCGGCCATTAAATAAGATGTTTCGATTGGTCATTTTTAAGTTTGGTTGATGCTATGGAAAGGTCCATTATACATTTTCAAATCTATCATTTATAATAATGTATTTAATAATTCATTTATTATATATTAGTACTTACAACACAATAACTGATGTGTAATATATGGTATAAATACTATATAATTAGTGTAAATGTTATATCGTAATGAACATTGTTATACTTTTTATATCATTTAAACTTGAATATTACAACTTGGATGGAGCTATCTCCTATCATTAAATTTATGTCAATATTGAATGAATTATTCTTATCAATATCATGGTATTTGTTGTCGACGTTAACAATGCTAGACAACACAGCGCCCTCACCTGTTCCAAATCAACATCATCATGCAGTTTCATGTTCTTGGTATGAATACGGAGAATCTCAAGTCGACCAGTAGCATCTGGGATTCCAATGTCCACTTCACGATCAAATCGACCTGCAAGATAATTAAATTTGATATGCAGTCAAGAAAAACGTTAAATTAAAGGAGCAAATAAATTAAATATAAATAAAAAAAATAGTTAAATTAGATATGCTCTTTTTACACTGCGCAGTAAAAGCATAGCCTCCCCACGGTGTGATTTTTGAGACACTTTGTTGTCGTCTGGCAGTTGACCTTATAAGAGTAAATCCAGTAGAGTAAATCCAGTGGAGGAATGATCGGATGGGGCATGAGCTAAAGATAAAAATGAAAAGTAAGTTTATGAAATATGATGCCTTGCTACATAATACCTGTCCTAGTTACAGTGAGTTATCATTTGAATTGACATCACAGAAAGCTGCTAGATAAGACCTGTACTAGAAAGTTCACTAAAATGTCACAATAATCTGGTATATACTTGTACAGTTATTATAGTTAATTGCCAACACAGAAAACATGGATGAGTTAAAAATAGCCAAAATAAAAAATAAAAAAACCATGTCAAGCAGTCATTGAATCCAATTAGACTTACCAAACTTATCAAATTGTTTTTTATCGTAATAACAAATAATTTACTACTGTATAACAGCAAAGACACAAAAAAAATATTACAATTTTAACTAAATTATTAGTGAAATTATACAAATGAGCAATTAGCATATTCACACACATACCAAAAACAATAGGCTCCATCTTTTTATTACCATCTTGTAGTCTTGCAAATTTGAAATTAATCGCACTTACCAAGTTTTAGTTGTGGTAACCAGCCTAAATTACCTGATTAGTGAACTTCTAATTATAAAAATGAGCAATTAGCATATTCACACACACACACTCACACATACTAAAAACAATAGGTTTCATCTTCTAATTACCATCTTGTAGTCTTGTAAATTTGAAATTAATCACACTTACCAAGTTTTAGTTATCATGGTAACCAGCCTAAATTACCTGATTAGTGAACTTCTAATTATAAAAATGAGCAATTAGCATATTCACACACACACACTCACACATACTAAAAACAATAGTTTCCATCTTCCTACCATCTTGCATTCTGCCAAACTTGAAACCCATCAGACTTTACCAAACTTTAGTTACCGTGGTAATAAACAAATGACCAACGACGACAACAACATCATCAATAAAAACGAGTAAAAACAAGCCTCCCCTTTGTGGAGGCTAATAAGTAAGAGTAAGAGTGGAAAAGGAACAGTGAATTAAAGTTTTATAAAATTAGCCAATAACTACCCTATCTCCAGTCTTTGGCAAAAAAGTTTAAATGAGAATTAATAATATATCTGTTTAATGTTGCATCAAATCAAGCAAGTTGAAAATATGCTTACCAAAACGACGAAGGGCAGGATCAATACTGTTTGGTCTATTTGTTGCTGCCATGACGATGACATCAGCTCTTTGTTTTAATCCATCCATCAAAGTCAGCAACTGTGATACAATTCGTCTTTCATCCTCACCATGTGTCTGTTAATTATTAACATTACAAGTTCTTTTTTTAATACTTAAAATGTACTTGAGTACAGAATTTATTTAAAAAAAAAAAAAAAAAAACTATGTTTGAATTACAGTACATTTCACAAGTAAAATATGAGGAGATATGACACAATAATAGGTATCAGTTAAATGAACCATGACAAGTGAATGAGTAAAACACGGAAAAGGTTGAAATTTGTGAAAACATATTGAGTCCACTGAAACTCATCCACTCAATGCGTCGTCTAGCGTTTATAGTGACGGAGTTGAATTTGTCGGTTGATGGTCGTATGACAGTAACACGGATGCATTGGGTGCCAGCTTAAAGCTACGTTCACATCAAGCCCGGATTCCGGTCCGGAGTCCGGACAAAAAATCGTGAGAAATGGCTTCAGTGGTAAAGAATAGAAGCGTTCACATCTACACAGTCCGATTTTTTCCCCGGACTCCGGATTCGGAGCAATGGATCAGAAAGCCATTGGAAACGTGAATCCGAACGGATTTTTATTTCTGACCAATCAGCGACAAGCGTGAATGACCCCAACGCTAGCTCTGAACAGAAACAGCTCGAAAAAAGTCAGCGCGAGAAAAGATACTGTGTGCCGTGCCGGGATTTGTTTTTGCTTTTTAATTTTATGCTGTATTTTAGGCGTAACTTGCATCACACATCAAACAACATATTAACTAAAAAAGATAAGTATATTTCTAGTTTTCTTATTAAAAATAAAGTTAAATGAACTTCTCTCAGCTCTCTACTCTAGCCTAGGCCATGTAGGCCTAGTCTAGAGTCTGAGAGAGCGTTTATCCGGCCCAGCCTAGGGGCCCTACTACTACTAGACTAGCTTAGCTAGTAAAAAAACACGACAGCAGCAGTTGCTAGCCAAGTTGCGCATTTCCTGCAGACAGACGACAGACCCCACGGCACTAGCCTAGGCTTCATTCCTAGTGATAATAGAGGGGTGAGGTGAGGGCCTATCATCTGTCTGTGGGGCAGGAACACGCACGCACGGCCTTTTTTTAATCAATACATATTTATTCAACATATATTTTTATTTCAAATGGTTGTTTTTCCATCGTTTTTCCCTTGAAAAGCTCAGGATTTCTTGCAAATATGTTTACTGGTACAACAAAAACATACTTTAAAAAAAATATAAATTTGATTGCATTATGACTTTTTATATGTGTCCCTACCATTGATTTACTTGTGAACATCGGTAAATTAGGGGTAAATTAGTCTTTTCTTTGATACTTTGATTTGATAGGGTGATAAACAAATAATTTTTTTATCGGGTCTAACCTGGCAGATAAACACTACAACAAGGATACCAGCCGGGAAAAAATGATGTGTGGGAGGGAAATATATAATGCTTATATCAGGCGTGGCCTGAGATTTAACTTGGCCTGGTCATTACTAGGCTCTATGAAAGGAACATGTTTTGGCAGAGTCTGCTCTCAATGTATCATCATAAAAATTATAAATAGTGTAGCCTAATACTGAATAACAAATTGTAGTTATAGAAACAGTGGATGAACAATGCAAATTATAAATTACATACCCAAATTATTTATACAAGTAACAAAAATAATTGATAAAATTAATAATTTTATTTTACTTATCATTGTTTAGCCAGTTCATAGTTTGCTGAACAAATTATACTGACTAGTAATATAATTCACACAATTTAAAAAAAATTCAGACTCCAACTCATTGAAAAACTGAAAGAGAAACTAATAATTAATTATAAAAACTTTATAGGTATACAAATTTTATGACTATGTGATGCAGTATTTGAAAAATATTTTATTGTATTACAATTTACTATAAGCAGAATTTTTTTTATTTTGTTTCAGAAGTACTGGAAACTTATCGATAGATGATGAAACAATGCGAACACCTATTGCATAACTTTGAAGTCATAGTAGTTGCTGATAAAGTAGAGACACAAGACAAAAAATTCCCCCAAGTTTACCACTAAAAAGGAAAATGGTGAAAACCAAATATGTGAATTCTAAAATAGTGAAGTATTTGACAGCAAAGAAGGAAAAAGATCCATTGGCCAGCTTTTTGAGTCTAGAAAACAAACTGTGCACATACTTCCCAAGGCCAAACAAGTCCAAGTCAAAAATTAGTAATATTTCATTTCTTAGGTACGAGTGCCAAGGATATGCCAATAAGTGAACTTAATTGCTATCCTACATGGCATAACCATTAAACGACCGGACTGAATGAAGCAGTACACCGGGGTAACCCCTACTCTTCTCTGAGGATGTACTGAGTTCTTTAAAGTGCACACGAGCCAAATGTGTATGTCGGGCCTACGTTTTAAAGTCCTTAACCGAGAAGACTTCCACCACCGGAACCATTGGCTTGAATAATAATATATGGATTATAATATTTTAATTACATTATTTATATATGGTTAGTTAAACCTTGTGAACATTATTAATTAGTGGTCAATATTAATAATCAAATAATATTTCCAAATTTGAATTCCACATAGTTTGCTAACGTCGGTAAGTTTCAAATAATATCTGGTTTAACCACGAGAACAATTTGTATATAAATGTGAAATTGTTAATAAATACAAGAATCTGTTTTCACACAATTTTATCTGTCTCTTATACACATCTAGATGTGTATAAGAATTAAAAATGTACTGTTCCTCACAAATAGTTGCACTTTTAATTTGAATTGCTTATTTATAATGATCACAAAAGTTAAGAACTGTCAATAAGAAAGGTTGCAAAAATAAATTAGTGGTATGCTATAAGTACTGTTATAACAAATTTTCTGGTAAGCTTATAGTTCATGATAGAGTCAACATATAAAGTAGTTTAGATAGGACTAAATTGCAAGTGCTGCTGTAGGATGTATTTTTGGGGAGGGGCTGAGTGAGATAAGGATAACTGTGGCACGCATTGCCATCTGAGGGCCTTCCGACCAAGCCGGGTGGATGGTTTGGGAGGGGGTATCCTAATATATATCTAACATTATAAGAAAGTAACAAGTCTCTGTCATGTCTGGATATCCAGAAATTGCGCTCTCTCACACTGGAAAAATACTCTTCAGTATTTGATAAAGTACAATTAAGATCTATAAACTCAGCTCAATAAACACTCATTTCATTTCATTATAGGCCAATTTTTTTTTTTTTTTTGGTCTGACTGCCCAACAAACTCTGGTCGTCAGAGGGCTTGACATGTCCCATGGGGGTCTACAGCACCCTCCCCACCCCCCGACACCTCGGCTGCCGCCGCCTGGTGTTATATTTAGATTTAACATGATACTAAGGAAAAGGTAAGAAGCTAGGATTTATACACTATAGGCCTACACTAGGCCTAAATACATAGTAGTTTGGCCTAGCCCTCCAGGCCTACATTTGTCCTAGCTAGCTAGTTAAGCGGGCCTAGGGCCTACCTAAATACAGAAATTGTAAATATTTGTCAGGCTCAGAAGCACGATCAACACTCTTGGTCCCGGTGTCTGTCTTCCTCAGTTTATTGAATTGACCCATTCGGATCTCTCATTTTTCTTCTAATTTTGACGTCTTCCACAGCATCCTCGACATCACCGTAGCTATGTTGACGTCGTTCCACTTGGTTGCTTCCTTTGACCCCTGATGCTTTGTTCCCCGGACGCGATGTGAACGCACAACCGGAAATCGTAACCGGGCACGGATTCCGGTCCGGACTCCGGACCGGAATCCGGGCTTGATGTGAACGTAGCTTTAGACAATGGTAATTAATAATATAAATATCTTACATTTAATATAATATCTATGTAAGTAATGCAAAATTTTCCTATATTATAAACAATACCTACCCAAATACTTTGTATATTATCATTAAAATCTAAATCAATAATCAAATTCATTATTTCTTTGTTCAATTAACAAGTTCTACCTCTTCGCTTTTTGGAGCAATGACGTCCAACTCGTCTATGAAGATAATTGCTGGTGCGTTCTTTTCTGCTTCCTCAAAGGCTTTCCTTAGGTTGGAGACTGAATCTCCAGCAAGTTTACTCATAATCTCAGGCCCTACAAATCAAATGTACATTATCAATTAATTGATTAATTGTTCAATCAATCAATTGTTCAATCAAACAATCATTCAACTACTTAATCAATCCTTTATGTTAATTATTATTTTGTTCATTCAATCAACTAATCAACCAATTATAAGTTCAAAGAATTGTTCTAACATTCATTCAAGCAGTCATTCATCCAACAAATCATTCAATCAACCAAACATTCAAAGAATCATTCAACAATTCAACCAAACAATCAAATAAATGTTACCATCGAACATTTAATCAATCAACCACAAAATCATTTATCATGTAATCATTCATTCAGTCAGTAATCATTCAGACAGCCAGTCATTTAATCAGATTACCACTAAATCAATTAACGTACCTATCACTCATCCAATCAACCAATCAATCAATCAATCATCTCTATAAAATAAGGTAATATTGTCACAAAAACAACCAGATTGTATATGCTGCAAAACACAACAACTTTATCTGTGTTATAATACTTATCAAAAACATTAAATATATATCTAACATTATAAGAAAGTAACAAGTCTCTGTCATGTTGTTGTACTGCACATTAATCTATTTCTGAGGGTTGGGCTGACATAAAAATGAACAATACATTTTCAACATTAAATTTAAAAAAAACAAAAAAAACATATAACTTAAATACATCACACTTTGACAGTAGAATAAACAACAATGTACCAGCAGATAAATTTATAGCTCACCATTAATCAAGAAAAAGAATGCTCCTGTTTCATTAGCCACAGCTCTAGCAATCGAGGTCTTGCCAACACCAGGCGGTCCATACAGAAGGATTCCTCTTGGGGGCTAGAGAGAGATATCAGAAACCAGTGATTATATATGGTATCAAAAACTTAGTACTCTTTGGCATGCATGTGCATATCAAGTCTCATATGTGTGAACTCAGTAGTGGATCCTGAAATTTTTTGACGGGGGCCCAATAAGTCATCTACACCCACATGGTTGGGGCTCATGAGGTGAGCAAATTTTAAGAATAGGCCCCTCTATACACTTGGAAATGGCACTCTCAGATGGTAAAAATGCTTTTTCAAAGCAGCGTTCTTCGACAGAATTATTGACTTCCTCCCGACGGGAGCTATGCGGCCCCCCACCCCTTAGAGACCGCTCCCCTCACGGACGTCGCAGAGGTCTAATCGAGGACCTATAGTTTACTCTATAGTGGGAGTCACAAAGCAAATTATGATTCTGGCACCTACAGCTGCCAGGAAATGGCACTCATTCAGATTTAAATATTCCACCTCCATTTAAAAAAAATGTTTACAAATGTTGGGGATCCTGGCCGGCTTGGCAACCCACCCCAACTGGATTAATATGATATGTGTCCATACAGTCGATGTCAGTGACACATTATGTTGCTATGTATCACCAAAGCCCTTTTGGATTAGGGTGCTATGAGCGAGGACCCCACTACACACTATGGGTAGGGGTACTGAAGGCGCTCCTAAGGTTTGATTGATCTTGGAGCAAATTTCAAGAATACTGTAGGCCCCTTTAAAGGCTCGGAAATGGCATCTGTCAGACGGTAAAAATGCTTTTTCAATGCAGTGTTCCTTGACAAAATTATTCTTCCTCCCAACAGGAGCTATCCTCCTCCTCCCATAGACGCTCCTCCTCTCACAGCTGTCACAAAGGTCTAATCAAGGACCTAAAGTCTATTCTATACTGGGGAGTCACAAAGCTAATTATGGTTATGGCACCTCTAGTGCACTCATTCAGACTAAATATTTTATCTCAATTTTTTTTAAATTTTGACAAATGTTGTAGGGTGGCCCTGGTTGGCTGGGCACCCCACCCCCACTGGATCAATATGATATATATGTCAAACAGTCGATGTAAGAGACACATTATGCTTTTATGTATTAACAAAGCCCTTCTGGATCAGGGTCTATAGAGCGAGGACCCTACTGGACCCTCATGGGTACTACTGTAAGGGTCGGTGAGAGCGCATAGGCACGAGAGCGCATAGGCGTTACGCCACTGATCATGGATAGCTGTTCTATAGCTGGGTACTACATTCTGGCTAAAAAACTCTGTTTTTAGGTCTCGGTCTTTTGGCCTTTTTTACGTCCTGATATGAAATCATTGGAAAAAAATCGGTGTCGGGGATATAGCGTTGCGTTCGTCGTCAATCAATAGAAAATTAAAAATTTGTGAGTGGTAAAATAATCGAGATCTCCTTTCGCCCTCTGCTGGATTGTAATAAATTACCATTCCCTTTCCTTATTTTAATAACATATTTAATACATAGAACATTCTAGAATAACATTTAATTGATCAAAGAAACAGTGTAAACCACTTTGGTAATTTTAGGAACACATGACACCATGTAGAATCCAAGAGTAATATATGAAAGCTTCTGGAATCTTGGGTATTTTAGAGGCAAATAAGTCTAATTGGTTAATGATGATGTAAGGTGACCAATGAGGAACTTAGGCAATATAGAATGCTCTTGAATGCTCTGGAGTTGTACAGCTAGGGTATATAAGCTGACAGTTTTATCTTTCTGGGGCTCTTTTTGAAACACATGTTTATGTGAATATTGTTATGTTATTTTGAGACCGGATTCTTATTAGAGTTTATACAGAATAAAAGTTTATTTGAGTTGTTTTACAACATTGTGAGCTGTGTTTATATTTTATATGACAAAGAGGGATTCCTAGTCATTTCTATACCGCTCGGAAATACGTCGGAAATACGTCAAGTAGGAATTCATGACATGGATCTGCCACTGAACTCATGGGTACACTTCCTTTTTTCCCCTCTTTCTTTCTTCCTTTTAACTCTTCTCAATTTTTTAATTTTTTGGCGTGACTGATGGGGGAGGGGAATCCGCTTGTGGTACCTTCACTCCAATGGCTTTGAATAGTTGAGGATGACGCAACGGCAGCTCCACCATCTCTTTGATTTGAGCTAGCTGCTTGCGGACTCCACCAATATCATCGTATCCAATCATATTAAGCGACTCTTCATCCTTGTGTAAGAAAATCAAATATTATTATTATTATTATTATTATTATTATTATTATAAAAAAAGCATTTACATAGCGCCTTTAAAAAGAAGATCAAAGCACCGTACATCAAAATCCATTATTACAAACACAAAATTTAGTAAAATATTTTAAATCAATCAATAAAAATGACGCCAAAGTACAAAGTAAAACATTCAATAAAAACTCCAAAGATCAAAGTGCAGTACATTAAAACTCATTTTCACAAATATAAAAGTACAATAAAAATCAATTAATAGAAATGGAAAGTACAAATTACAAGCCAGGAATGGTAATGAGATGAGATTAGAAAGAATTCAGTTTTCGATTCATTAAGCTTTAACTTATTTTCCAGCATCCATTCTACACTCTACAAAACTGCTACCAAACATCAGGGGGATCATTATAGAAACTCATATTAATCACATTTACTTAAAAATGATTACTTTTTACTAAATCGTTAATCGCGGAGAACGCTATCTTGTGTTTATAAGATCTTTGGCGTACAATAAATGGCTTCATGGGTCCAATGTTTACCACAATTAGACCAATATAATTAACTGCCTTGCTAGAACTATAGTAGCGTTTATGAATAAAGTTCTAAGAGTTATTGGTGTTACCACAAGTTTACTATACTAAAACTACTAGCAAGCTGGGTAACATATTAGAGTTATTATAAGGAGTTGTAGCATAAAAGACAAATGCCCAAAAACTTTTAAGCATGCATTTTGTATTCTACATTACTAACAAACCGTATACCTTAGGAAGTGCACTTACAATACACAGACATCGCGATGGCTGGTGGCTAAGTTTTATTAAATGAATATATAAAACAAAATTTTTAAATCAGTAATTAGGCATTATCGGATTGAATCACTGTTGGTTTGAAATTGTTAAACTACATCAACACAACACATACATACATAATTTTACTAATTTTTAAGTCATGTTCGTCTTATGTGCAAACCATCAATCAAGATAAATGAATACAAAAAATTTTTTTTAAAAGTAACATGCAAATTTAGCTACTATTGGTATGAATGAATGCTCTTTTAAATGTGGAAATAGTATTATTTAAAAGATTAGCACTACTGAATATTTGACTCGGGGGAGGGGGGTGCTGTCTAATACAATGTTTTCCCTCCCTAAATCTGCCCCTGTATTTAAAGGAATGGTGGGCACAATGGTGATGCTAGTGAAGGTAATTATAACGATGATCTTGCTGATACATAATGGTCCTCAATTTTTACGCTGTGTGTTAATCCTATGATTTAGGCAGGCATCTTTAATAACAGTAATAATAATAAATCTTTATTGATCCTCATTCCATTACCTCTCTTTTAATGAATTCTCCATCTGAATGAATGACAGTGTCCGGGGCTACAATGCAGTATGGACTTGGATCGGTCTCCATTACCTTGAACTCAACAGCTCTCATACCTCCACGAATCATAAATATGTCCCCCTTTCGCACCGGTCTGTAGGCTTCCAAGAAGTACGGCTTTAAGTACACCTCAAACAAGTTCCTGAAAAGCAATTTAAATTACCCGTAGAAATAATGAATAAAATTATAAAACTGTTATTGATTCATAATATTTTGATAAATTAGCTTGTATAGTACTACTTATGATTGCACAATTCAATGTTCCACAGGGACGTAGCCAGAATTTTAAAAGGGGGGGCGGGGTCGTTATGCGAAGTACGTAGGACCCCAGGGAGGGGTCCTACGTATATTTTTCTTTTTTTTCATTAAAAAAAACTTAGGGGGTGAGGGGGCCTTTAATTCACCAATGCTCAAAACATTCTTTATCCAAAATAGTCATAATCATGAAAAATGGGCGTGTAAAACCAGATCACATCCTAAAAAAAAAAAGTTAATGCCATACCCGGAAGGAGAGCAATCTGTTCTGAAAGGTTGAGGAAGAGGAGGGGGGGGGGGGTGGAGACATTTTCTGAGACAACACCCACCTCAGATTCGAAATTTGAGAAAATTTAAGGAAATAGTGCCTCTAGATGACCAAAAAAAGACATTTTTAGTAAAATTCATCATCATCACATCACTATTATATATAATCAAAATAAAGCGCCAACAAATTTCTCCTGATCTTTTATCAGGGATTTTCGGCAACCATAGAGATCTTATTAATATGTGTGATGTACCATAGAAAATAAAGCTTACAAACATTGTCTTTGTGTATGTACTCTACATACTTCAAAGCTGTAATTTCACAAAACACCCAACCCCACCAGTTGGAGCTGAGGTGAGAAAATCTGAGGAAATACTACCTCTAGATGGCTGGATACGACACTTTTATATAGTAAAATTCATCATCATCACAAATTTCTCATGATTTTTATCAGGGACCTACTTATATCCAGGACAACTTAGGCCTAACTATAGCTTACTAAGCTTTAACTATACTATAATAGTTATGATCAACAAATCACAACTTACTTTTTCGCCTTTAGCACAATTTTCTTCACTCTTTAATATTATATCTATCAACAACATTGTCATCATCAGCATTATTATTATTACTACTATACTACTAATAGTACTGTAGTATTAAAACAAAAACTTAGAGCTTGCAAGAGAATAAAAACCAAACTGAACCATACAATATCACATTTCTGTATACCTGGCCTGGGATTTATGGATTTTAGATTTTTTTAAATCACGCTTAGGCTCATGTGTTATTATAGTAGGCCTATGTATAATGTGTGCTGATGCATATTTACAAAGTTTAGAAATATTCATTTTTTTGTGATCAATGGAAAGAATTTGTATTGGCTAGCAAGAACAATCTTTAAAATTTTAACACTGTGAACAAAGGGGTGGAGCTGCGTCTCCTAAGGCTTCCCCCTGTATACGTCCCTGATGTTTCATATGAATTTTCTGTGTAAAATATTTTAACAGATAAGGATAACCCACAGTGAGAAGACTTCATTACAATTCTATCAAATTTGACCAAAAAAATGTTATATGCCCTTATATAGTCATGATGTTCCCATATATAGTCATGATGTGATGTGATGTCATCATGACTACTGTATATTTATATTTAGGTTTGTCACATGTTTTTGTAAAATAAAATTTGACAGTCTGGACAAAGTAACTGTAATAACTGAATCAATTATAGCCTACCCTGTGATTCCCTCAACTGTGTCATCAATAGGGAGAACATGAATTCTTTTACTATACTTTACATCTGGACAACCTTGTACACTGTAAAAACAAAAAAAAGAAAATTTTGGTCAATGTATGTTAAGAGTTTATGGTAAAATCTAGGTTTAATCCAATAAGTACCTCCTTCCAATAACTATCGCATTTGAATATTGATTTACGCAACACATCTGCCCTACTCTGAAATTAAGTGCTGCAGTTCATTATTCTTGTGTGCTTGTATACAGCTGAACATATATCTCAGATACGCAGGATTTTTATTGGGTGGATGCGAATTTTGTGGAAAGTGGACCAAAATGAGGGTGGGGGAGGGCAAGCACATAGCCCTTCTGCAGCAGATTGGGCAGAGCCCCTGCACTCAGACATTCTTGATATTTTGAGGTTTTAATAGATATTGAAGCGGCAATATGAACAGTATCAAAAGTTTGTTTCAGTGGCAGTCCAGGAAATGGGGTGGGGGAAGGGAAATAGGGAGGGACCTTCAGAGACAGAGGATTGATATTACCTCAGCCCCACCATGGTTGGGGCTGAGGCAGGAAAATTCTTAATTATGGCATCCCTAAGCATCCGGAAATGCAACTCTAAAACTTAAAACTTGAATATAATTTTCCTTTTCATTTCATTTAGGGGAAGGGCCCTGGCCAGCTGTAGCCCCTCCCCTTACCTAATTCGCCACTGGTTTTGAGAACAAACATTATTCAGTGTTTTTATTTTCCCATGTTCTGTAGTCTATCAAATTTTTTTAGGCCTAACGATAAATATAGTGACTTTGATATGTCAAGGAAACTGATCTATACAAACTTTAATTATTCTAATTAAAAACATTGTGGAAATGTCATTAATTATATCACAAGGTAAAATTATAGCAGAAGGTATATAAAACGTGCATACGCACACGTCGCTCCCCCTTGCGTATGGGCCTGTATCTCACCTGATTATGTCACCGAGACGAACTCTGAGATTGTTCCTGATGACACGGTTGATCCTGATCTTTCTATCAGAGATGGTATCATCCGAGAGGACATTGCAAACTGTATCTCTCCCCTTTTTGCCCTTCAGCAGGACTTTATCACCTCGAAATAACTGCAGCTCATCCATCTTGGCCTAGGAAATAAAAGAATAAGAAACACTACACATGTGCTTATAAACATTCATCTGTCCAACAGCTCTGTCCACACTTTATGTGACAAATACTGTGAATTGCTTTGTGACAAATTTGTGTGAATTGCAATGTGACAAATTTGAGTGATTGCCCATGTGACAAATTTGTGTGATTTGACATGTGACTAATTTGTGTTATTTGACATGTTTTAAATTTTGGTGATTTTTGTATGTGATAAATTTGTGTGATTTGCTATATGACAAATTTGTGTGATTTGCTATGTGACAAACTTGTGCGATTTGCTGTGACAAGTCTGAGATTTTTCTATGACAAATTTGTGTGATCTGCTATGCATAATTAAAAACCCAAGGTCTTTCAGTGAAAGGGGTCTGATCATTCAAATTATGCTAAACAAACACTGTGATATGCTGCCCATATTTGGGTGCAATGACATCATCATGCCCATATATGGGCACATCACACACATTTTAAAATTTGATAGTGTGGACATGAGCTTAACACTCAACAGTGGTGAAATGTAAAGTCCTGTCCAGACTATCAAATTTTATTTGACAAAAACATGTGACATGCCTAAATATGGTCACGATGACATCATTATCATGACCATAATATAGGCACATGACTATATATGGGCATACCAATAGTCTTTTGTTAAAGAAAATTTGATAGTATGGATAGCACTTAAGACTTACCTGTGAAAGGCAGACGACAGAGTTGTCATCATTGACTGCTTCTTCCACTATTAACCTGTTTGGACGAGACTTGGTCTTCAGAATTGCAGTAGCAACATCATTCCTGTAAAAGGTTTGAAACAAATTAATGATTTTGCAATAGTTGTCTAATAATTAAGGTGTCTTTTCATACAAAAATAATACATAAGAATTACTGTACATTATTATTATTATTATTATTCCCAGCAGTACTGGGAAAAACCATTGTTTTTTTCTGATTGTTTTTGTTCTGATTTTTTTTTTTTCTTTTTTCTTGCATATATTTTTGCTATATTTTTGCACTGTTTTTTTCTGGCCGTCACTTTGGTCAATTCCATATGCTTAGAATTTTTCCATGCTATATCAAAGCATAGGCCATATCAAGTATGTGCCTCCTAATATTTAGTGTCAATGTATGGTGGGGTGTGCATGTGAGGACCAATTAAAGTGATTTAATGTTAAACAGTCTACATTGGATATTTCAAAATACGGTCAATTGATGTGAATGAAATTTACAGGAAAGTTTAATAAAGTTACAAGGAAAAATATTATGTGTTAGTGACAATCCAGGGAAGGGTGTAAATTTGAGGGTCTTTTCAGTTTTTGAGGACACAGACCTAAATATCCCTTTTAGAAAAACCAATGGGTCTAAATGAAACATTCTATATTAAAAGGTCTTGTAAAAAATGATGAAATTTTTGCGCAATCCACAGTATAGTGTGGATGTGAGGACCATTTGAAGGAAAACGTCCCAGACCACATATTTCGAAAACATCTCATGAAATATTCTAACCTATTGCACTCGTAAACATTCATTATTTGTATAACAGAACTACAGACCTAGCCATCCTTGCCTTTGTATTATTATTATTAGGCCTAGCCTAAGTAATTCATTGTTTTTTTGGGTGATGGAAATACACAATGCTGTTACCGGCATCACAAATTGAGTGAATGTGTTATTTTTCACAAAGTATCTAAAAGCCCAAATGATCCATACATCAATATAGCTATGTTTGTATAGAAAAAAATAACAAATGGAGCACTCTACAGCCAGACAACGTATTATAACGAAACATGACTTCGCGATTTTGAAAGTCGATATGAGTTCGGTTTTTGTGAAAAAAAAAAAAAGTTTCAGTCAATAATTAATACATCTTGGACAAAAATCACCGTTGGCTAGTTACTGTACTTAGTTACTGTACTTACTCTTTCTTTGATGCCATCTTTAAGAGGTCTTTTCTATTAAAAAAATAATTCTAGCCTATTCTTTGTCAACGGGCAGGCGGATGCTCATGAACTTTGCACTCTATCGATGAAATTATCGTTGAGGTCAAGTCAACCAATCAACAGCACATACGTGTAAAGCAGTCACATGCAGTAATTATTTATGGTGATGATTTCATACAATAATTTTGTCACATCTAATTTTAGAGGGACGATACTGTGGTGACTAAATACACTTCACAATCAATAATTGTACTGGAACTGTAGTTTTACTGGGGATGATGAAGACATAATAACAAAGACCAAAACTATTAATTGCTATATTTAATATTTAATTACACACACACACACACCACTATAAACAAAGTAATATACAAGTTAAGCCAGGCCTGCCAATAAGGAATTGTTACTGAGTTACACTTGGTAAGCACCAGTAGTGAATGTATAGACAGTATCATTACATGCAAAATATATTCATATGGCATGACAGATGAATTACTGAATCAAATAATCATATAGGAATATAGGTATCTTATATACTGGTAGACCTAGGCTTATACACATAATAGGTCTATAATACATATAACATTATTCCAATATATTAATAGCATTAATATATTGTAACAAAATGTCTCCCCAATTGTTGGAACAGCCCTGAGGGGTAGTAGCCCAATTAATTAGACAGCTGTAAGCCATGCTCTGATTGGCCCTTGTGGGAATGGGAAAGTTATGCAAATAAGCCCACTACATGGGGGAGACTTCAGTTGGTTCCCAGATAGCCCTGAAACTAGTACGGTACTGAAGAGACTCCCGTTATTGATCTTCCATTGTTACATCAAGGTTGCACGTTTACTTTACGAATACTACGACCCTATGAAGGGTGAGTAGTAGAATAGTTATTTTGGAGAAAAATACTGACTTCCCTCACATGGATCATGAATTCAAATTGTGTCTGTATTATTTTTCCCTCACGTGGATCATGAATTCAAATTGTGTCTGTATTATTTGATTGCTTTCTGTTTAGTGAAGTCGGTGGTGTACAACCACCGCAGAACCCTGACGCTCATAAATAGGCCTAATTATCCCGACAGACGAAGGAGATTTGTTACAATATATTTCATCAAATGAATAATGTTGTGCAATACAATACAGTACATGGTTTTGATGCATCACTCCAGATATGTAACAAAACAAGTTAGTGTCCTTGGCTCACACTTCACTCCGGCTAGTGTGCGTCAACTACCAATCACTGCTATTCGTTTTGATTGCACTTACTTCAGCTAACGTGTTCTAAACGCAAGTTACTCTGGCTAAGGTGCATCCAACGCAAAGCAATGTTTCTGGTTTCAATCGCACTCAACTCCGGCGAATGTGTATGCGCTCAACCACAAACTAAGGACGTTAACTTGTGGTTGAGCGAATGCGTATACGCTCAACCACAAGTTAACGTCTTTACAGTAGTTTCTGTTACTCTGGCTAACATGCAACATAAACCATACATCAACCATAAATTAACATTTTTGGATTCTAGCTGGTCTTCACATCTCGCAAGATTATCAAAGATCATAAATTTACACATTCACGATTATCATTGGCAATATATATCCAAGACCATCACATGGATTCAATAAGATCATCATATACAATATAAAGTACATCAATAAATGAATGCAAGATCAAGATATGGATTCAAGATCATCAATATACAAATTCAAGATCATCAATAATGGATTTAATCAAGATAGAAATTCACTCCAGAATGGCGCACCATTCTACTTTGACGTAAACCTGCTTGTCCCTGTGGTCCTATCACAATTTCCGCAAAAACATTACCCTGCATGAGGCTTTAAACTAGCTTACTCTACAGTCTATGGCAATACTAATGTGTATAGCGATCTGGACTAAGCCATGGTTATGTATGTCATTATCGGTCTCAACCGATTCAAATCCAACCAACCCTCCCGCGTCAGCGCGAAATTATTACATACTACTGAAACGATATCGCTACACAAGACGGTATCCAACGCATCAGTAATTCCTCCGCAGAGAAATTAGCACGCAATTTGCTTCAGAATATTTGACAGGTGAACAACCGAGTACTACGAAATTTGCATAATATAATAGGCAAGCGAACGATAGAGCAAGGCGTCATTAGCATATTAAAGCACAATAGGCTGAAAATAGATTACGGCTATCGTAACTCTGACAAATTTATATAAATCATAAAGCTGTACAAGT